AAATCTTATTATTGTGTGTTTTGTGCTGGAATCTTTCTTTTCATTATTGCTATTTAAGTTCGAATACCAAATAAGAGTGTGAGCAAAAAATCTTTACAACAAGGACTATAACTAAAATGTATCACTTCCTTGCCAAATTTTGTTAAACCTATGTGTCGCTTTTGTGCAAAAAATGAATTTTCAGATTTTCATATCAACAATTTTTTGAATTATTAGAAAATTATTTTCATTGATTTCCAATGATGAATTAAAACACAAAATAAGATAATTCAATGACTTTTTATTAATTATCTCAGTGCATTGTTAATCACTTATACAAGTATACATGAAGCGTTTTAAATATACCACGTCTTGATTGCTTCAATAGAAAGTGTACCATATTACGGAAAAGTCTGAGTACGTTTCGTTTGGTTCGCTTTGAATTCACCATATGCATTTTCAAATTCTCTTCTTCCTTATTCGGGCAAATTTGCTTTTTTTATTCAGTTGAGCTCTGTAGTTTTCATCGTGATATATTTGGTATTTCATAATATTGTGTCTGTAATTGTTTTTAAAAACAGATATCTTTTGCGCGTGGTTTTAACCCTTTTGTCATTAAGCTCACTTTGTATTATACCCTCTACCAGGGCCGCAGTTTTTATTGTGGACATTTTTGGCTGAAGCTGACATCAGACCAAAATGACTGTCTATGTATCTAGAGACATATCTGTAAACATCTGTAGAAAATCAATCTGTCGCCCTGGTAGAGGGTATTTGTATTATACGTTACAATAATCATCCCATTTTCTAAATAAATAACAGATATCGTACGATTGATTTTCAAAAAAGAAAAATAAAATATGAAAGAAATAGAGGACAATTCATTGTAACTGAACACGAGCCACTGCTTTTGAAAGCACATTATTTTTTACAATTCGACCTTACAACAGAATAAAAGTCCTCCCGTGAAATATATTTCTATATTTCAGTTCTTAAGAGATCTGCTTATTTATTTATATCCGGATTCATAAAAATGCTGCATTTTAGTATATATTTTTTCAAAACTGAATGAAAGATAATTTAATTAAATAGAAGTCGCATATGTAAACTAAAAAATCGTCATAAGCAGCTTGGATATTTTAAGTAAATATCTCGATAAGAATTACTTATCTTAAGATCCCAAAGCCAGTAACAACAAAGAAAAACCAAATTTATATTTGGAATAAATCGTGTATTTACAAATTCAAATTCTACAATGGCTGACAAAATGTCAACATGACAAAGCAACCGGTAAGCTCAATTTACAGTAATGTCTCATGACATGAGAATGCCAGCACATATAACATCTCGTCTGGTTTCCATTATCTCGCGAGAGCCTCTAGAGCAGACGACAGTGATCGGTTCTATAAAAAACTAAGACTAGATAGTCTGTACATGGAACGACGTCTGGCATTGCTGCACAATAATCATAGGGATAACAATAAACAATGATGGGAATCCGTTGGAGACAAATGTGTGATCGCATGAGTATTTTTCACAATACATATATATTCATATATACAAAATGCCCCGAGCAATTTCTTACAAGATATCGGGCAGAACACCACCAGTTGGGTAATCTCTAGCCATTATCAGTAATACAAGATGTCTCACAATATAGTCAGTTACAAGAAACATCGACCTAAACAAAATATTTCTAAACAATTCTGAGATCAACTTAACAACAATGAGATAGCTTGATGATAAAAGGTGCCCCGAGACTTCAACATATTCCAATATGGCAGAGGTGAGACGACACCGTTATTTTGATGGCTCTCCTATCGGAATCCTACTGATGTTCGTGTGGTGGGATTCTTTCTCTCACTGAGCATTGTGCCGACATCCGAAACCTCTCTTAACCTTGTATTTCTATTATTAAGCCCAAGTTTTTACTAGGCCTCAAATTACGTTAGGTGTTTGGATAAAGCTCCAAGTTAACCGTACCCACATGCGAGCGAGTAACTATAGACCCGGCTCGCCAATAACTAATTTTCTGAAAAACAAACCTCGCCATTCCGGAACCTGTCGTGTAATTACTCTTGCCTCCAGGCTAGCTAAATATTAATAAAACAGTTGGGAGGATCTCCCCTCAAGGTACCCTCTTTCTAAACTAGCACCTATGGTTCTTTATATCTTAATAATTATCATAAAGCTTCTTTAAGTAAGTCGGTAGACTCTCGTGTTCATTTGATATAAATAGGTATAAAACAGTAAATAAAACAGTAAATATTCACATGATTGTCCTATGAGGGGTTGCGACACAATAACTCGATACAAAAAAACTAGCTGAAACTAAAACCAAGAGAAATTACGCCATTACACAACATCGCAAGAATAACTGCCTTACCAACGATATGCTTTTTTCATACAACTTTTTCTAACTGAATCAAACTCTTGCACTTAGTCTATTGACATTGATTTACCCCGTGAAAGTGTTCAACGAACCTGGAGCAATATCTTGACTTTTTTTCCAACATCTCTGGCACTGACTGACAAGGGCCCCAATATACGTTTTATATTATCTATATACAGCCTGTCAGCTGACCCACGTTATTTCTTCACTTTATGCCGTGGCATACTTGGGAATATTCCAATTTTGGAATCCTACAGATCATAGAACATCACTTCATGTTAAAACGCGCTATGAAGTTTCAGATTATTGTACGCAATTTTGCCTAAAGGTCGAGCTTAAACGTACAGCGAGTCGGTTCACGTGCGGCTTGTTAGCGCCGCGCAGGGCAAGGACCGGCGTTCCAATTGGAGAAATGACCGCTATTAATGGGCAAGTGGACATCAAGAAGCGTTCACCTGCTTCTTGGCTGTTGGATTTATTTGGTAAAGTAGTGCCAGAAGGTTCTGATTTCCTTAAAGATCTCTATTGTAATGGAGAACCGCAGCTCAGGGTAATAAGGCTTCTGCTGACTACCGCTTATAACAACAAGCAGGGAAAGACAAGAAAACTCACCCCGATTCTGACCTCAGAGTTGGTGGAATTACCCGACCAGTCTGCCTTCTATTAAGTCTATGACGGAATCCTGCATTGAAACATTGCCCAATACTTGGCTCGGTTCAACACTACACTTCCTTTACTAACACGCTAGTTCTTTTTCAGGTTCTTTACTTCGTACGTTAGAGTTAACTTTTGTATTTATATATCTCTAAATGTCTCGTTTCCCTTAAGGTACCGACCATTTTTCAAAGAGACCAAACTTTCAAAATGCTATTTTTAAGCCATGGGGGAAAACCCTACGACACTTGGCCGTACTCCTGCTTGAAAAGCCGTTTCATTCATTCAAAGGTGAAAATATTACAGCTTAATAGATGCACCATTACGAACGGAATAATTATTGAAATGAAACATGGAGTTTCATGCTTCCAAAGGAAGCCGTGCGCCTTCCCAGGAAGTTCAAAAGCAAACTATTTTTTCAGGTCTGCAAACTTTCCCAGGGCAGTGTGGGATTTGAGGATGTGGAGAAAGGAAAGCACAGGATGCTGATGCCAAATCCAAGTTGTTGGGCAACAAATTATCCTCTCTGAGATCTCAAGTTCATCTCTATATGCCACACCTGGTACCAACGAGCCGCTTCTGCCATTTTCCTGTATTACAGGCAACATCCCCAACACAAAGCCCTTTTCTTGTCAATTTTAAAGATTAACTTGTTTCCAAACCGATAAGCCTACTATCAAATCTGTCGAATTTTATGTCAGATAGCCACGGAAGGTCCTAACGATATTGCCAACTATTGCACACTTTGCGAGTTCAAAAGCACCAAATCTGCGGATTGGCTGAATGATCTAGATCCATTTTAAGGGGAAATGAATGTTTCTACGGAGCTGCTGCTCTTTGAAGTGCACCAGTTTATTTGAGAAAACTAAATAACCTGCTTCGTCAAACAGTTCAACTCAGATAACTCGAACTTACAATGTCGCACGTGAATCAAGATATATAATTACACATATATAAATTACCTGCCCAGAGAAGGCGACAACAAATGTGCGTCTCCACACTATACGACAGACATCCACAAGATGTGTTACTGTCACACTCTTACAACTCTCTAACTGTGAAGGCGTAATTTTTAGTGCAAAAATATTTGCGTGACACCCCTTCTTAACATCGCGTGTCAAAGCATCTGTTTTCTTGGTCTCGGCGGATGTCATTCTGTCTTCCTTCTATTTCACGGTTAAGGGGAGACTTTTAACCCCAACCTGGCTTTTTCTGGCGTCCTTACGTGACGAAATATACACGCTGCTTTATGTTATCTGGGCGCTGCTTAAATGATGTCTACATTCACCGAAAGTGAAGCGAAACTATGAACGCACCGGAAAGAAATGATTCATACAAAATTTAGTTCCTTGTCTTTATCTATAAACCAGGACGTTTTCAATGTTATAAAATGTATGCAAGTTCTTTTGAAAAAAAAAATGTTTTTGGTAGTTTTGCCAGAATTGCGTTCATTTTTCCGCTTGATTGCCCTAACCGACATCAGCAGATACAGTTTCTGAAAACGCTTATGTAAGGCCTAATTTGACTAAATAATAAAACTGCAGACACACAAAAGCCGTAAGTGCATTTATGCAAACGCTTTTCTCCCTCTCTATTTCTCTCCATTTCTCAGGCTGCATAAAAGTTCACGAATCATTTGAACCGAAATGGATGAAACTAAAAGGTTCGAGTAAGCCACAGAAAATAAACCCGAAGCAATGGTGGAAAATTGTATTAATGAGCCAACAATGGCATCTAGCAATTAATTTGTGCGTTTTATCATGCGGCACACGCAACCTTGATTTGTAAAGCCATTTCCCAAGTACCGCAAGAGCAGTATAGCTTTCAAGGCAATCGATGGAGTTTGCATGTTGCTCGCTACTTAGGGAGAAAGCAACCGACTGACTTTTGTTATCTGAGTTTTAAAAGCGAGTTCCCAACTCGAAGATATGACTTAATGACCTGATCGTATGCTTAATTATGAGCTTAAATGGCAATGCTCTGAGTGTAGCAAAATATCAGTCTGTACATGTCCTTGAATAATTCCTGTCTTTCCACAGAGTATGGCCAAAACTAGCCGTACGTCTAAGGCATCAATCTTATCAAACACACATCTCTGAACAGTTTCTCAGCACTTTTAACTATACACGACTTGCCCATCCCTACCTGAGGCGAAACCATCCAACGGGGCACACAGATCGCGCGGCCTGAGGCCGTATCCACGTCAGTGACGTCACACTGACGTCACAGTCGATCACGTGGTGAACAGTTCTCCTGGCGTCAATACTGCGCTACTGATTGTAACGTATGGTGTAACGACGGTATATGTCCCATGCCCACGTGATGGTGAACTGGGGAGTGTTCATTACTTGGAGGTGTTGGCATTCCAGCGGCACTTTGACACACGTACCACTCACTCAGGTTGGTGGCCGGATGGCTGGTTGTCACGTGGTTACTATGGCCACCGATGGACAGTGACGTCGACGGGCTCTGCGCCTGCGCGTTATTGCCAGCGGAGGTTGGCGAAGTGGAGGTGTCAGCGGGCGAGGCAGGGCTATCAGGTGGCGGGCTGTCACTGCGGTCTGAGACCCCATCCTCGTCGTAGGTAGTCCCGGGCGGCGGTGGGGACTTACAGTGGACCTTCATATGTTTCCGCAGAGAACTAGGGTGGGTGTAGCTTTTGTCGCAGCCTCGCACCTTGCAGTTGTAAGGCTTGTCGGACGTATGGACGTGGCTGTGCTTCTTGCGGTCGGAACTGTTGGCAAAGCGGCGGTCACAACCATCGAATTCACACTTGAAAGGTTTCTCCCCTGAAAAGAAAAGAATAATATTTGAATAAATATAAAATAAGAAAAATCATAAAATTTGTAATCCTTTTTTTCCTGTGAAGAAAAACTACTGAAAGGGACCATTTTACACATTTCAGGGAATATTTAAATGTGGGTTGATCGTGCACTGGAGCTGAAATCCAATGTTAAGAGGAAAATGGATATCCAGAAAAAAGTTCGTTAATTGATAGTCGTTTACTTCACTTGGCGGTGGCATATTTATAACACAGTCAATATGATTCAATGGAATACAATTTCGGTGAAACCAAACGACATCCAAATTGCTTTGAAATATGCCACACAGTGAAAAATGGCTGCATTTGTCAAAGAAAATCAACAATTATTATGTGGCAATTACTGGCAAGAAAAGTTATTTCATAACGAGCGTATTTCTCTGTTTATTAAAGTGCAAATATAACCAGGCAAAGCGCGTGTTCATTCAATATCACTGCAATGCATAAATCTGAAATAATGTTGTAGGTTGAAAGGACTAACTACCAGTTAATACAATGGATTAACAAGAAACAATACCTAGGTTTAAAACGAGCAATTCGTACACTACATTAGCAACAGACAATGTGCAAGTTTTCAAAAGAATACCAATGCCGCGGTCGTTTTTCTCTCTCCCTCCATTTAAAAGAGCAGGAAATTTTGCGAGTACTCTATTGTAGTGACGAAAATGGGATCTTTCATATCAGCGGCTCATGGCGTTCTTTGTTTCTCTAAAATCAACTAGAAATCGATGCCGGTCCAAAACATGGCAAACCCCAATAAAACAATCGTAAATGCGTTTCAGTCAATTTATCAGTGGTTCACATGATCCAAGAGGGAATTCTAGATCATTAAAGAAATGTATTGACTAACGATAGGCTTACAGTTCTTATCGACACAGAAGGGCTATTACCGTTGCTCTAGCTCTTCGATTACGCCGAGGATTGCAGTAGAACACGCTACAGAGTTTTCCCGGTACTACAGATACAACGCAAACTACAACTGGGGGGCTTAACTAGTGACGGTTGTTCTTGTTATAAAGGTGATATATCAACTGAATATTTTTTCTATTGAAGAAAGACTATTTTATGATTTTAAGATTATTTTATTTCAGTTGAAGATTTTGGTTGAGTCTCCTGTCAATTTTTTACAGAATGGATGGCCATTTTGTCTGTATTTAGATAATATTTTATTTACTTTATCATACCTTAAAATTTATAAATACTACTTTGATACAAATACAACATTTTTTGTATTCTAAATTTTTTAATTTAGTTTTTGCGTCTTAAACATAATGTGCAATCAGCATATAATACAAAATTTTTGGGGAGAAAGTACTCTAATTAAATTCGTTTACTTTTCTCTATTCGTGTAAACTGTATTTTTAGATATTATTAGTCATTGTTTATTATGTATTTTCTTAATTTATGAATAAACATGCTGCGATCCTGCATGGTTTCATAACATTACTTGATTTTTATCCTCACAAAAACTGCCGAAGCTCCTAGATTAATTTAGCCTCGACAATTAGGCCAGTCTCGACAATACTGCTACTATTTATAACATCTTTGACATGTGTGCGTTGCAGGAGCGGACAGTTACAACTAAAATCGATTCCTCGGGCGTGATCAGGCATTTTCCTTTCAACCCAAGGTAAAAAGCCTCGGCTAATAAGAAGAACTATACGCGAAAGCTGTCTATTGATTAAGCCCCGTCTCGCTAGCATGTCAACGAGATGAACAGTATACACTTAATGACACTTCTTACATTTTCTCCCCGCTTTCTCTCGCTAAATGAACACCAAGTATTAAGATCACTATAAGATAGTTAAGGTTTTTTTTATGTCAACCCTGAAGCGTCTTGAAGGCACGCCAACGCGAGCGAGCTCGTGCAGATAAACTACAATATGGCCGGACCGCGAGTAGCGTGTCGCGGGCGTGTTTTCCCCCCAGATATCAATTTAATGCTGCAATTAATAAGGTTTGTAATTATTAGAAAGAGCCGCGTCTTCCTATTTAGCTCATTGAGCGGTTAATTCGCCACTCGGATTCCGAGCACGTTTTCTGTTATGTTTAATTTCTTTACAAATGTCTCCCCTCGCTTGTTATCGGTCTGGTAGAAAATTAAGACGGCAAAGGTGTTAAAACTCTACACAGTTATTAAATTTTACTTTAATGGAGACATTAAAAACCGTGGAAAGCCTTGAACGTTACGCCCAGGAGAGGCAAGGAAACCGTTTTGTTGAATTATTTATAAATTAGTTTCACTTTAAAATGATCAGTGTCTTTTCGCTCTTGGTTTTCAATTAAAGTTGTGGTCCAATTATTCATTTTCTTCTTCACGCACTCGCTGTCGTGAGTTATTTTCTTTTACACTTGACACTTTATGCGTATTTTCCAAAGAAAAAAATCTGAGAAAATGGTCGGAACTTTTCTGCAACACTTTCTTAAACCAACTATTTAAGAGATATTCTGCAAAAGGCAAATACCTTGAACATTTTATCTAGTTGTTGTTATTTTAATAATGTGGAAACAGCTTTGTTTTTTTAAAGATAATCCCCACCAGTGTTTACGCGCAAATCTTATAATAAAAATATTGATAACATTAAAATCCAGTTTCATCTTTCTAAAGCACTGTCATTCTTGTCAACAAAATACGTGTTCAGCAAATAGTCAAGGCATTCGTAAACCCGAACCACAAGTCTGTTGACATGAATATCTTCATTCTTACCTCCCTTCCTGATTATATTGGTAAATAGATCACAACTCTAGCTGACGGGGGGACGGGAGTAAATCACACAACTATTCCAAACACGGGGTTATCGTTCTTCAAAGGATAAAATAGATTTAAGCCAACTCTACAAGGAAGTGGGAAGGCAGAGAAAGGTCTGGAATGCACTCGTACATAATGTTCTACACCACCAGCCTTTTGAACGAAATTTAATTAGCTTCCCAAACAAGTGTTCTTTCTCCGCGACACGACAACAATATACAGTCACATGAGGAACGCCGGGTTTATAGTAGAGTAAAACAGGTCACTTATGCTAAAGATTGGAATATGATTGTATTACTCCGTCCTATTTCTTCTTGACTAACTCTTGCCACGTGACCTAGTAATCCCTGAACTCCTTTTTTCATCAAACATCAGCAAAAGGGGTTTTCTTTGTGAAGAAATGATGGCACCTCCAACCCTCTTCTAAGCATTTAATTAAATTTTAAGTAGACTCTAAGGAGGTAGGACGCTTTCATGTGACTTAATGATATTGGACTGTATTAAGTTGCTATTGAATGACGGTCTTTTGATATTTTAACTTACGATGCTGACCGTTTCAAATTTGTGGTATCCCTTAACCATCACCTTAACCACAATGATACGCGTTAAATGTTAATTATATAAAGAATTACACTATATTTTTCATTCCCCTCGAAAAAATTTGAATTTAAAAATCAATTTTTAACAAAGCTGTGTTTCTATTTCATATTCTATCTTTGCCTAGACTTAAATCTTCTGTCTGCAATATTTCATTTAATTTCAAAACAATACCAAATTTTGTGCTACAAATTCCTCTTTGAATGTTACGAAGTATTGAATGAATTAGCCTCGTCGTGTTTGATAAATCTCCCCTCCAGACATTTACCGAGGTCAGACGTCTAACATAGTCACTTAGAGAAACAGACGGTTTCTTAATCGAGACATTTGATCGATTTAATTAAAGGTTGTTAATAACTGTATTGGACTCGGTGGAGAAGTTTCTGTTTCATTACTTTCGTTTAGCAACTGCGACGTCTTCCCTAGAACACAAGGCCTCCTGCTAGCAACACACGAGGACAGAACGAGACGAGATTAGAAGAATTAAAATCTAAAACCTTGAATATCAGGGCCTTTAAAATGGTATTCAAAATTAAAAAGTATAAAATAATTTTGGAACAGACAACCAGCGGACCCGGTGACCAGAGTGTTATAAATCTACTATATCTTAAAGCCAGGATATTTTTCAAAAAAGAAAAAAAAAAGATTTAAATGTTTAAAAAACACTATATATTTGCTGCTGTGTTTTGAAGCATTAAAATAAAGATGCCTTCTACGCAATTTACAGAATTTTATTAATTTATTTTACAATATATTAACGAAAAGGTATTAATTAATCTTTAGATTTTATTTGGTAGAAGCATAGATCATGAAACTCAAAGGCAGAGATAGTTCAAATCGACAATGAGAAAAATTAATTTAACTCTTAATTTAGCTCCTGTCTCCATCATTTTAAATATTTGGAAGACAGCATAAGTGCGAAAAGGGTGTTTTATTTTTATTTTAACGATATTTTTCAGGACACGAAGTACATATACTGCAGGACATGCCAAGATACATACTCATATATACCACACAAAGTGCTAATACATGAAACCAATGATATCTAGAAAACATGAACAAATAAATATTTCTGAAAACTAAGGTAGGGCCCTTCAACTTAACACAATGTAACAAATAATGATGTATGTGACGCTGTTCATAAATTCGAGTAGACTTTTGAGTATAACCGCAAGTTTTACCGAGAAGAATGAGACCGTCACTGCGCAGTGCAACGTCACGCGACTTGGGTCATTATCGACACGAAAACCGAACTCAATAAACAGAGGTCACAAAACAAAGGCTACAAAGCAGTAGTTAATATTTAGTAACTTGGGGGAATATTTAAATACTTGCTAAAAATCCACGCAAAAAATATTATATTTTTTCTAGGTTTCTAGTGAAATGTACGTGGGAGATTCTAAGATCACCATTTGTTTTTAAAAATATTGAGACAGATTCTAGATTTTTCCACGTGTCAAAACTTTTCTACATATTTCTAAATGCATGTGTTTTAGTTTTTAAATCGAATGACACAATTTTTCACATGCATTAAATAAAAACACATATAACTCACGGGGTCGTTTTGAAAATATTATTAATATTATAATTTTGTAAGTGATGGAATTCTAATGCCTGAAATC